TTTACAGTGAAAAACATACTGACATTCCTACTATTGCAATAGATGCAGTATTTACAGTAAATATAATCTAAATACAATACCAATGTATTATGTAAATTTAAGACATGCAACAAAAAATATTGCCACTACAATGTTTCCAAAAATACAGCAGACGCTAAACTTAACAATAAATGTACACAGAGGAAATATTATTATTATGCAGGCCATTAATACATGCACACTAAAAAGTTTTATCGGTCTAGTTTCTGTTACTTCTCTTCATAAGTTAGGCCCTTCTCAGACGTCTAGGTGTTTAACATCTTTTTTATTGTCTCAAAAAACAGAAGGGCTAGTGATGACCTGAAGGTGAAATCTATGCCATGTATGCTGTACACGTACACTAGCATACACATAAATAAACTTGAGTGTATGTATATGCACACTCAGACCATTGGCAGAATTGACATTCAATTAAACGAGGCTGCTTGTCTAGTTGGAAGACTCAAAGTATGTTGAAATCAGAGGTACCTGACAAGAGAAAATATACCAGTTTGCCCAAATAGTTATAAAAAATTTTACCAAAATGTACTAGGCATGTTGTCACCCAAAGCCACCTCCACTCCCCAGTCAAACACTTCCATGTTGCAAAAGAAAACTTTTATACACAGTTGTATCTACTAGTATTGTTTATAGGTACAATATTTCAAAGACTTAAAAAAGTTTCTGAAAATTCCCAAAGCATCGTATGTAGTGGCAGAACTGCAACAAAACAATATTGTTGCAAAAAATAAACAATATGGAGAAAACACTCCATAATCTAATAAACAATGTATTCCTGCTTAATAAGAGAAGTATGCCTAGTTCACACTACAGGATTTTAAGGCCAATTTGCAAGTTACTAAGCTTGCCAACTGATCGGCCTGTGGTTGAAGGAAAATCTGCAGGTGCTCTATGAACTACTGAATGACACATCAAAAAGGCTCAGTGAGTCGTGACCAACACCTCACAGATGAAAATCCAACATCTACCATGCTAAACATTCTATACCAGGGGTCACCAATCTTGGTCCTGGAGGGCCAGTGTCCCTGCAGGGTTTAGCTCCAACTTGCCTTAACACATCTGCCTGGGTGTTTCAAGTATACCTAGTAAGACCTTGATTAGCTTGTTCAGGTGTGTTTGATTAGGGTTGGAGCTAAAATCTGCAGCACACCGGCCCTCCAGGAACAAGTTTGATGACCCCTGTTCTAGACCATTTTCAGAGTCAGCCGACTCAACCACACATAGGGTCAGGTGTAGTGACGAGCTGAAGCCAATGAGAGAGCAAGTCATGAGCTGAATGGTTGTTGTGTTCAGGAGTTTAATAAAAACGTGATTGGCCAGAATTGTCATCGATGCACTCCCTTTACTCTGTATTTACACAGACACTAGAGCATCTTAAAGTCACATCAATTGGCTGAACCGTGCAGATATATGAGCAATTGACCCACTGACACCTCAGCTGATTGACGATACTTTCTAATGCTTTCAGAGTTTTCAAATGCTGTGTCAGCCAATAGTATTCAGTTTTCTGAAGGCGGTGTCCTCAACATTTTATTGGCTGTGTTTTGGGGGCTGGACTGAGACGTTAGGTGAAAGAGTTGTTGACGAATCATGTAGTGTGTGACCCTCCCTTGTGTAGATAAATTATGTACTGTCATGTAGAGTAAACAAAACAACAACTCAAAAACAAAATCAAGTCATGTAGTCTAAACGCCACAACGATCTGCGATAGTGTAAACTAGGTTTTAGTTTCAGTTCAAATGATTTTGTTTTGGTTTGTTATAAGACAGCATATCCATGTTTATAACAATTATAACTATTTGTAATTTTGTATTATAAATGTTAAATTCTACATTGTTATGATAAAAAAAAATCTTATTAAAATAGCCTACAAGTACAACTAAAAATGTTTCATAAATCAGTTACTGTTTGCATTGAATGTGTTCACCCACATTCACCCACATTTGGGTTCGCACTGTTAGAGGAATTAAGTCAAATGCATTTTAGACCACCTCGGAATGTGGTCAAAACAGCCCCTTCACACTTGTACTTAGCATTGTCCACTTTTGATCTGATCAACAAAAAAATATCTTATAGCAGACGCGAACAGGTTTATGGTTACAAAGGACCAACAGTTAACGAAACATGTTCCTGTAGCAGCATAATTGTAGCAAATAAACAAATTCTTAACCACAGACAAAATAGTAGTTGCCCAACCAACATTCTCCTGTTGTGTGTCATAATGAGCAAGTAAAGTCTAATTTCAATTCTTATGGCAGTTTTAAACGTGAATAATGCTAGTCTGATTTTTACGAGCCACTGTCATGCATCTGTGATGTGCACACCTCAGAATATCCAGGTGCTACACTTCTGCACTTTAGAGTTCCACCTTTCGCATTGGATCACTTTATAAATACTCAGAAATAGATTAGATTTTTCACATTTGTGAATCAATTCATCATCACTCACATCTGCATTACAATACAAACTGTTCCACAGAAAAATGCCACCAAATACAGGCATGAAAAATGTTGCCTCAACATCCTACAAGAGCAAACAAAGAACAGCGCAATTATTGGTAATAAGTACTCTTACAATAACCTTGTTATGGCAACAATTCAAACAGGAAGTCCATGTCTTCCCTGGTGGACCTTTGCTGACAAACATGTAATTCTCAAAGCAGGTTACATAGAGAAACATTATTACTTTCATTAACGGACCAAAACAAAGAATGTTGTACATCACTTTTTAAAACACTTTAAATTTTTGTCTGATATATTTTTACTGTAAAATTTTAAATGTCTCTTCTAAACACAATATAGAGCGATTACAATTCCACCAAACAATCATACTGCAAAGATTAAAAAAAAAAGTATTGAATATTCGGCAACACAATGTCCCAATCACAATAAATTGTTCTTAACACATTTGTGCAATACATTTACACTCACAAGTAATATATGAAAAAATAAACTATTTATACATCTAAATGCAGAAATACATACAGATGTAAAAAAAATCTAGATCACTCAGAATTTCTGTATCTCTTGATGTATTAATATAATATTTATGTTTGTTTGATTCTATAAAAGACTGATAACAGCCCTTTTCATTTTCAAATAAAAAATACTAAACATTTAAATGAATGAATTATAACATTTTTTTCTAGAAAATGAAAAAAGCTTTTCTATCTTTATTTAATCCCAAGCTATGAGGCATTCTAAACACCATTAACCCTGGGTAAAGTCACATTTCACATCCTGTGATTTGAAAGTGGCATTAGCACTGCATTTTAGCTGTAGTTATGAAACTCTGATCTTAAGCAAGGTTAGCAATTCATTTAGAAAAATATACAGCATGAAACATCTGTTCCACCCAGTATTAACACTTAACCCCAAGTATAGTATGATAAATAGTGTGAAACATGATTACATACAAGTCAGGATCCTGTTAAACCAATGTTTGTTTACCCAGGGTCAACAATATCAAGTGTGAAAAGCCCTAAATGGTCAGAATAACATATATTTTCATTTGTTGAGATTAACTATCACGGTTATTCCACCAAATATTGTTTACTTAACTGTTCTAAAGTTAAAACAATGCGACCAAGTAGTCAGAAAATTAAAGCATGTCTAACAACAGGGCATCTTTTTAGTTATGTATGCAATAACAAAATAAATATGAAAGCTAAATGCCAATAACGTTGACAGAAAAAAAATAAAGTACAAAACTACAAGATTTTAATACAGAGAAAGGGAACTTTAAAGTGGTTTATACTATTTTACAGTAATAGCAATGACTTAAGTAAAGGGGAAATTGGTGGTAAATTTGGCATAAAGCGTCAAAGCAAGAGCAAAATTGCACCACTACGAATATTAAAACCGCACAGTACATCAGTGAAGAGCCACAAACCACCCTGCTCGTTTAAGTTATATAGCACATTAACGCCAGGCAGTCGGCTGCACATCACTGTCATTGATTTGGGCAGATGTGGATTAGGAATAGCAGTGATGGCCAGTTGGCAGAGCCTGAAAAATAATCTCTACGCAACATGAAGCAAGCGCTGGCAAACAGGAGCTGCGTAGAGATTATTTTACACGCTTTGCCAACTGGTCATAAGGGAAAACAACAGCCTCACACACAAAACACTAACGCTATCCTCCAAAACCACATCAAAGCTCTATATCTGAAATAAAAAGCGGCGGTTGACGGATTAAAAATACTGTGAAATTTAACTTATGTGTTGACTGTTTAACTCGCGTCTTGTAACCGCGGCCTCCATGTTTCGTGAGGAGAGGAGGGGGAAGACCTACCTATTTCATAATATACATATCTTCGCAATCACATATCAATTCAGACAGGCGCAATAATCTAGTTAAATGATATATAAATCGAAAGTGTAACAAAAAGAAGATGAGAAAATAAACGATCATATAACTGATGCTGCGGGATTGATTAGAGGATTTGATGGCGAGAACAAAACAAAATGGCGGCGGTGAAGCGAGGCCAGTGCTACAAGCACATTAGCATCGGGATTTATGACGATTTAACAACACTGCGCTCACATAGAAACCCAAATTGAGAATTTTAAACTACAATATAACATGCATTTAACCAACAACTTCACCGGATCCTTGATTCCCAACCAAAACAATGCACTTGTCTGTCATGCAGTCTCAGCCAATGCACGTCCAACGTTAATACATTTCTTCAATCTACAAGTAACGTTAGCACTCCACCCAAACACGAACCTAAAATCTGCTAGCGCTCTAAACAAAACACCTAAATGGTAGGCTTTTAAAAATACACATGGTAAATATTCACCAAAATGTGACACACAAGCTGTGTTGATAGCATGCTAACGTTAGCCGACACCGACAGATGAAAAGCAGGACAGCTGTATCCCAACACTACATAAACAAACACCTATATAATAAAGCCTCGTCAATACACTCGATTGGTCATTAGACACAGCTACTAACCTGGTCTTGTCCCGACTTGTCTCGAGGTTGTATCGTGGAGTTATTAGCAATAATCGTGTACTAGCTACCGTTAGCACAATCTCTTACAAAAGCTCAAAACAGGATTATGTGTTGAAGAGATCTGATGGGGATTGCTGAGGACGGATGTGTGCAGTGAAGCTTACTTGTACTCCTTTTTCTTTTTTTCCACAAAACAAATGAAAAAGGAAAAATAAAATAATATTGCGGGGGTCGATCCGTCACTATTAGAGCCGTCAACGGCTTCTGAGGATGGTAGCGCAAAGAGGGGCGGATTCAACTTCAGGGGGCGGAGCCAAATTAACATAATTAGTTGCGAATATGCCTCTTGGCCAATCAGATAATGTATGATAAAATTCTATTTACATCTCTGTTAAGCACACCCCTCGCTCACTGATAGTAATTCACTATGAATGAACTATGAGGACAAGGCTTGGACAAGCAGGTTCAACTTCATATTATCTTCTCTTAGTCAGAATAATTGTTTTAATAAGATGATTCACTGTGCCCTGTCAACGGTTAGATAAAAAAAACCTATAGTATACCCCACTGGGTCGCTATTGAAAAAATGGAATTACAGACAGCTCACTTCCAGCCCTACTGTTTTCAAATACTAAATTACTCACATCAGTTAAGATTGATAACTGGATTGTTTCAAACTGTTTAAAAATATGGCGTCAAATCAAGAAGTGCTGCAAATTAGCAGACACTACTACTTCTGCCTTTAGTATATTGTAATCATGCACTCCTCCGTGTGCTCCGGTTTCCACCACAGTCCAAAGACATGTGGTCAACCCAGACTAATTCTGATTATGTACCCCTATATACATTTCTGGAGAGTGCAAAATACATTCTAGGAGCTATGTTTTTAAAATAATGACTCAATTCTTGCAAAAAAAAAGACAAAAAAAACAAGAAAAAATGGTTTGGTATTAATACATTTGCATTTGTGGATATGTAATTTAAAAAGAAAATAAATTAAATTTATAACAAAATAAGCATTTCTCTCAGTAGAGGCAGATTCATAATAACAAAAAATATTTTATTTAAAAGTAACAGAGGGCAAAGCAGTGGCGCAGTGCTGTCGCCTCACAGCAAGCAGGTCGCTGGGTCGCTGGTTTGAGCCTCGGCTCAGATGGCAATTCTGTGTGGAGTTTGCATGTTCTCCCTGCGTTCGCGTGGGTTTTCTCCGGGTGCTCCGGTTTCACCCACAGTCCAAAGACATGCATCACAGGTGAATTGGGTAGGCTAAATTGTCCGTAGTGTATGAGTGTTTGTTTCCCAGAGATGGGTTGCAGATGGAAGGGCATCCGCTGCGTAAAAACTTGATGGATAAGTTGGCGGTTCATTCCGCTGTGGCGACCCCGAGTTAATAAAGGGACTAAGCCAACAAGAAAATGAATGAATGAATAAAAGTAACAGAAACATCTTGCTGTATATTATCATTAATGAGCCAGTATGTTTCCAAAATTACACAGCATAATTACAATCCCAAAATAAATGAACAACTGAACAACTTTGAATAAATGAACAACTTTTTTAATGAAAAGAGATCTAATTTTTTATTACAAAAAGTTTATAGAAAGGTACACTTTTTTAGGAAAGAGATGATTGTTATTTTTTAAAGACCATAGTAATTCCTGATGTTAGGGCTCACCTAACCCTACCCCTTACAGTGACGTCACTCGCTTCACTTGAGCTTGCATCATAAAGACTGCATCCAGATACTATTGCCCATCTATCTCTGACGTGACATTCAATATTTGGAGGCTAAACGGTATAGTCACCCTGGAGGACTTGTAAATTGAAAAAAATTTGCCCTTATTTTCTCAACTAAAAAAGAAGTTTTCTCTCCCCGAAACACTTTTTTTGACATTTACAGATTAGAAACTATGTAAGTCACGCAATAACCAATTTTGAATCACTGCCAACTGAAAGGAAGGTTTACAGGCTACTATTGATCTCACGTGAATCCAAACATTTGATTTCAGATTTTGTATAAGTGTTTTTTTTCAAGAACTGAGCTACTCTACAATTTATATGAAGAATGCTATGGAAGAGGAACTGGAATACAGATTGATACATGAGAGGAAAGCCCCAAAGATGTTAAAAAATGTATATGTGGACGTAACTTTTGTTACGTAAGTTTGGTCTATCTTGACCCACTTTTAAAATACATTTAAATTATTTTTGAGTAAAGAAAAAATTCTACCAATCAGATCGCTTCGAGAAAAAGCACGACCATAAATCGAAATACTTCCTGTGTTTATCAAAATCATTGCAGTCGTAACACACCAAAATATCTGGCCCAGTTTAGACCCAGTTATGGGTTATTAACTTGGTTGAGACTTGGCCCAGATATGGTCAATGTTTGGCCCTTGTATGGAAGCCAGACTTGGTCCGATCATGTACCATAATTCACTGTGACATGTGGGCCAAGCAAAGGCTGATTGTGTGGGCCAGATCTTGGCCAGAGTAATTTTGCTATTTGGGAAGTTATGCATAGACTGCACTCAAAATCTAAATTACACAGAATTGTTCCTACCATTTCCCCTAAGACATATGACCTGTGTAAGTCTGCGGAAGGCTTCCTGACCCACCTCTTTTGGATGTGTCCAAAACTTTATGATTTCTGATGTGACATATTTAAATTGTTTTCTAATATCTATGGTTTTACCTTTACACCTGACCCAGAAATTGCTGTATTTGGGAACTATAGTTCTCTGCTGGATCATGATGTACAAAGCACCCTAATTTATGGAATGATTATTGCTGAGAATGTTATTCTAAAACTGTGGAAATTAGATTCTGTTCCTCAATTTAAGACATGGTTAACTTATCTCACTTAAACATTACACATGGAAAGAGTTTGTTATGGAGTTATTGATCATTTTGCTGAGTTTTACAATATAGGGCAACCATTTCTTTATCACCTGGACCAATATAATGGGAATTCTGAGCAGCAGTGTAATGCTTAATATGCTTACTACCTCTATCGACTGTCTCTTTGTATTTTTATTGAAACCATTTATATGCCCAAATTGTGTTTTAATAATAACTTAATTTGTATTTTTTATTTTCTATTTTTCTTTATTTTAATTATTATTACCGTTATTTTTATGTATTATCATGCTTATTCCTTGTATTTACTTGTTAAAAAAACCCTATAGTATCACCCCTCCACCAAAATTCTTTAATACAATCACAGCATCAAAAAAAAAATAAATAAATAAATAAATATATATATATATATATATATATATATATATATATATATATATATATATATATATATATATATATATATATATATTTATTTTTTTTAGGTAAAACGTGACTTATTTTGCTTTTTAGGATGGATAGAAAGTTTAAAACAGCAGATTTATTTAAAATGCATTTCTTTAAACATTATAAAAGTCTTTACTGTCATATTTGATCAATTTGATGATGAATAAATCTGTGTTTTTGTCTTGTTTGTTTGAATGTTATTTTCATTTTTGAATGTTAATACATAACAGCTAGTTTCCACACTTAAAGTAATCAAAAATATTTCTTGCAGAAAATCATTTTAGAATCATTTAAAGAATCATCTGATACTAAAGAATGGGGTAATGATGAACATTTGCATATTCATTCATAAAAAACAAATTCACCACAGCGGAATGAACCGACAACTTATCCAGCATATGTTTTATATTTATAAGGACAGTGTCTATTTTAATACAGTTACTTTACTATCCCGGCTCTCAACAGTGTTATTCAGAGACCTCACCCCTGAACGCCCCCTACTTATAGCAAACACAACAGCAGTCTGGTAGCGATATTGCTGCTTTTTTCGGGGTAAATTATTGTGATTTCCCGATTGCAATAGAGAAATACTGTAGACTGTAATACTGTAAGAAGATATCTCTGTAGACGGAAGGCATTTCATGTCAAGTTCAGCCTTATAATCTTAAAATGTCAGCCAAATCACCCGTTTTGTCATCACTTTATACATTATGCTTGAGAATCATTCAAAAACTAGCTCTAAAGTGACGTTGGTGAATTAGTAACGGCTTCTGCTGTTTTGACGTTAGCTGCACATGTGAATGGCAGAAGAAAGTAGTTCCTAATACAATTTTGGACAATACTCTGTATTAGATTTTCTTTTGATATACACAATTGTGCCGTCAAACTGTTGTATAATCGCAATATCACACAAGTAGCAGTGTGATATGGCTGTATTTCAGGACTGGTGGGACACTATAAAGCAGGAGGCTGCACGCCTTCCACTAGTGCTGATATACGGCCATATCACACTGCTACTCGTGTAATATTGCTCATACACGCCCAAACAGACTCAAATGAATGGGTAAAAAAGCACTGCTTTAATTTTAATTAAACATTTTTTTTGTTATTAAGAGCAAAGTGCATTTTTTATTTGTGATTGCATGAGATCCAGTGTACGTGATGCTTTATTGAATCATTTGACATTGATTTATTGAACACACACACAGTTTATGAGGACTCTCCATAAGCGTTAGCATAATGAATTTTATAGAGTAACAACTGCCTATTGTAGCACATAATTGATTCACACTGTAAAATAGAATCCATACAAAAAAGTTACATTCTGAATTTTGTGAAGGTTAATCTAGCTTTAACCTCATTAAAATGAACTGGAGTGAACAAAAAACAGACCATTTGAGCTGAGGCTATGAAATATACATTAACTAAATCTGCATAGAAATGTGCTAATGTTCCAGAAAGGATTTTGTAGATAATGTGTTATGTATAAAATTTTGCTCACACTGTAGGTAACATATAAACAACCAACATAGCACATATAAATCATAAAGCATTATATATTTGAACATTTTAAAATGCCTTTTAATTTTACAAAAGAGTTGATATTTGATTTTAAAATAATGATTGACTTTATTCATAATAAAAATCTGCTGACCATATTTGATTTTAATCATATTTAAATCAAAGTGTTTCATAATGTTTCTGTATTACTAATTTTGTTTCATTCACACAGTATTTGCTTATATTTACTGTATTAAATACAAAACTGGTAACAGAGAAGAACTTTTCTCGTGCTCTGATTGACTTACTGCTGATCAAGTGTTTACATTTAAACCAGTTCAATATTCTGTCACCACGGCAACTGGAGTTTACACTTTAAATCCACACAAGTGTCTGAAAGTCTTGAATCCTCTGCTTGAAGCTCTTTAAACTCTCCAGTTTGACAAGTTTCATCAGTTTGTCTGATTTGAGAAGTTGATCTTCATGG